GCATTTTAGATCAGTTTAGTGGTTTACATTGAACACCATGTAAAATTGTAATCTGTGTATGTTATCATTTAATATGAACTACCTCAAAAATAATGTCTTTTAGCCTTTTTTTGTTTTTTCTTCCTATATCTCTCCTATATGTCAGCAAAAAGAAAGTGAGTTGCATTGACTTGAGTACTTTTTAAGAACTTCTTCCACCGAATGCTAACGTATCACACTAAAAAAGCCTAGTACAGGCTCCTTATCAGTGACATTTGTAGCGTGCTGGTATTTGGCTCAGAGTTGACCTACCTGCCGCAGTTCAGTGTTTGGCAGAACTCTATCTGAAGTGACTACTGTATTAATACTCAGTGGTCAGAGTGGATTTGCAGGGTGAACTGCCTTATCAAGTCACAAAAAGCAATTCCACAGTGTGTATCGTGCTGAGCTGCTGGACAAGCTACCCATTTAAATTGCCCCGTACATGCAGGATAAAAAAACATGAACTGAAACCGGAATCAGTGGGAATATGAAGTGTGCTGGCCAACTCAGATCAATAGACACAAAAATCAATGGGTTAATTTCTTGTGAATGTGCAGCAGTAATGACACAAATGAAACAATACAGGCGTGAAATCTGCTCCGGCAAAAGCACAAGGAGAGGTTTTCAAATTTGTTCAGCCTCTTATTCATGAGCAATCATCTGTGCGTCGGCTTTGTCTGATGGCCCTGCTTAACAACCCCGGGTGTGTGGCCCTGCTGCAGAACATGGGTGCACTTCATCGGCCTGCTAATAAAGTCATCTCCCAAGACACAAGCAACTCTTTTGGTCTTGACTGATTTTAGCATCACTTACCTAGACACTAGACACAATGTAAAAGGGACCATTGTTTAACCTGCAGTCTACTTTTTCTCTTAGTGCCAAAACAAATAAATGAGCAATTTCTTATTATCGAATTTCTTCTGGGCTCAGACTGCACTACTGACCCCACCTATAGATACACTTGCATAGTTTGCCCAGCAGACCTTAAGCTCACCCCTAAGTCGAACCTTGTGAAATGCACGTTGTAATCTCTGTACTCCTTAAAACCAGATGGCAGTGCAAGCCCAAAGCAAGCCCCGAACATCAGAACTAGCATTAATATTCATTGGCCTTCATGTTTGAATCATACCGGAGTGTTTACACCTGCTTTTGCCGATACAGGACGATTGCACATTTTACACTTTATGGGAGTGAAAGAGTAGCTTTGGGGTAATAACTTAAGCGAGCATTGAGCATGTAAATGAAGTTAATGGCAGGTAAAAGCACAAGAATTAATGAAAATCATAATGTCAAATTAAACTCTAATTGCTCACACTTACCCAAATTTGCTGGGGACTATTAGTTTAAATCTATGCCTTCATATTGAAATAAACGAAGAGAAAATCAGTTTTACTGGCAGCAAAGTTATTTCAAGATGCTGTATTGATCATGGGTCGACGATTAGAAAGCCTTATTGGATATACCCACCTTAGACTGCCTAAAATGCACCTGTAGTAAATATTATAATATACATGATCCCGGTTGTGGATTTGAAAATGAACAAAAACAAAAGCAAGGATTGGTACAGTGCTTGGTGTTTCAAGTATTGACCACAGCAGTGTCACTTGGAAAAGTGTGGGATAATCCAACAGACACTACTCCTAACTAGTGAAGAAATGAGTGCTGGCTGTGATGAAAAGGTGTCACACTGTACCACAATGTCTTTTGGGCATGGCTGCAAGCTAGTACGATGGAACATATCATATAGCCTGTCTAATCTCCTCTCCTCGACTCTGAAGTTCATATTTCTTATTAGGCGATATGAATCTGTCCTCATATATAACCCTGACCTCAATCTGCAGAGGTGTGCAAACAAACTACTGACACGCACTCCACAGCGAAAGCCTTTTTCACTGCTAGAAGCTCAGAGGGGCCGCGTTGGCTCCTCTGTCACCCATGTAAGCAGGCTCAGAGCAATGCTGGAACCTGGGGAGTGATTGATAGGGAGAGCTCCATGATGTGCTGATCGCCTAGTGAGCTCCGTCAGCCGCAATATTGCTGCTAGTGTCCCAGGCACCCAGGCATCTGCGCCATCTCCACACTAAGCTCGTACTCTCACGCACTCATGCACACACACAGATGCACGTACACACAGATTCCTGCACACACACAGACATACATGCACACAGCTATATGCATACAGGGATAGAGGAGCTGCTGTGTTTGGCTGTTCACGCCACACTTTATAACATATGCACTGTCGCCACCGAATAAAAAGTTAGCCTCCCTATGAATATAAAGTGAGGGCTCAACATATATAGTACATTTTCACCTGTACCTTATTCATGACACCAGAGAGAGACTTCTTTTTTAATCAGTGAATTCCCTTATATAGTCACTCAAACACGCCATCAGTCAGGATTTGTCAAATGTCGGAACACATACTATAGGTTCCCAATAGAAACAAAAATAAACATACACAGACAGAAAATGGACCACATAAAACTTCCACTAACAACTTAAATGTCGTTATAATCTTTTACAACATGCTGTAGATTTTATACATTAAATTTGATTTAAAAACTCACTTTTATTAGGGATATATATGAGCCAGAAAGACTGCTGCAAGTCTGGGAAGCAGCTATATGGCATCTGGTGTAAAAAATTATATATAAGTGAATAGGTGTAAGTGAAGCATTTGATCTTTGTCCAGACCAGTCACTATGTTTAATCCACTCTAATTCTTTTTTGTTATCCTAATGAAATTTTTGGTGTCATTCCTGATTTCTACTAATATCCCATCCACATACTACAGGTTCCTTTTATCGAAAACATATTGACCAGTTGACTTTTCACACAGCATCACCACAAAATTACCAACAGGGACATGTGACATTTCTTCATTGTTATCTAATCTCTGGATTTTCTCAGACAATAGTGGATTTGATCTAATCTGACTTGAATAAATGTTAGACAGGCCACCTGCTCGCAACCAGCAGCCGGTGCTCATGCCCCTGCTGAGCACACTGTGAGGCGCGCTGCTCTCTTCTACTGCCGAGCACAAAATAAGAATCTCCATGTATTTCCCACAAGACTACTGATTGTCTTTATAGTGAACAGAACGTGTTTGATTTAGAGGAATATAGGGCTTAGGGTTTGTGCATACTCCAACAAGCATAGCATACATTATTTAAAGTCTGATATGACCTCCACTGTCTCTCTGTTATTGTTCTACTGCTAACGCAATTTATTATTCCTTTCATAAGAGAATTACATACACAATGACACGGAGGTGAAACAATTATCATCTGAAGAAAATGTATGACATAGAAACATATCGCAAAAGCCATTATATTTTAGACAAAGGCATCATCAGCTGCAACATCAGTTTCTACAAGGGTAACTCTTTGTTAGCAAGAAAGACAAAGACAGGATTTAATGTTCAAGATCTATATAAAAACTTAACTGCTAATGACTTGACTCAGAATATAATATAATTAAAAATGAAAACTTTCCACTTGCAGTTAGACCATTTTACAATCTTCCATTCCTTTGCTCTACAATTAACACATACGTTACACATGAATGCAAGTGTGTGGTGCTGTGTGTTCTCCATGCTGGTCCTGTCAAGTACAGCGTGCTATACAGAGCATAGTAAAACAGAGTCACATAAAAGCAGGCAGTGGGCAACAGACCAGAAACTTGAGTTCAAAACAGGTCAGAGCAGTGGCTCCTTCATATCTGATGTGACTGTACTTCAAAGTAGCACCAGACAGAAGAATATCACCCTTAGAAAAGACTGTCAGGTCTTAAATGCGGATATAAGGTTTTGGAGCACATGTTGGCACCATTCACCACTTCATAAACCTATCTATGCTCTTTATGTGGTCCTAAAGACTAATGCACTGGTGTTATATTGTTAGCGTAAAGCAGTCCGAGCCAGCAGCCAATTTCTTATCAACAGGGAGTCCGTGTGTCTGCAGGGAACACAGCAGCACCTCATTAGAGGAATGGGCAGGACACACCAAAGGACAGTCAGGGGCCTCGATGATAATGGGGCATGTTTTATAGTCATGCTGATCAAACCAATCCGGAAATTTTGGCTGTGACAAAAATCTTCCTACATGATCGCAGGCACAAAAGGAAGGTTAGGTATTTTTATACAGGACAATGAGGGGTGTACATTTTAGATGCATACTGAAAGACTTTAGACAGCAGGAGAGTGAGAGGAAAGGACGATGCAGGGAGAGAGTGATACTGTGCTTAGTTTAAATATGGTTTCTAGGATAAAAGGATGAGGAATGGTGAGAAGAGGCTAGTGGATGTGATCAAATATTTAACTTATAATTATATAATAAATTACATTCATACATTTTCATCTCAGAAATTTGCTATGTTTTTTTTGCAGTTGTGTAATTTTGAGATTTATATTAACATGAGATGTGAGAGGGTTTGTGACGGGTTTTCGATGGTACAATATAGATGAAGGATAAACTAAATATTTTTAGAATGTGTCCTGCACTGTGTATCTTTTAAAATATACAAGTACACTATATCCACTGCAGAATTATTTTGCATCCTAATTCCATACAACTTTGCATAATCAATTTGCCACCTGTCCAGGATGTATGTGCATGCAGGGCAGGAGTGGGCAATGGTTACACAACAATATTTCAAAGGGAACAGGGAGTTTTAATGGGCAAAACAACCAAAGTTATTCTTGGGTTATTGTTTATTTGCCATTAGAGTCCCAAAGCAGCAAACACAAACTGCTCCCACATAATGAGGGAATAGTGGAAATTAAATGTATCAAATCACTTTGAGCTTTGGAGCTTCCACCACCATAGTGACACTGCTGGGGTTTTTCATCATTGCTAACAAGTTGTGGTTTTCAATCCCCTCAATCACCACAAAAGTCACAGAGCAGCTAATGAGCGACAGACATTGTTCCACACTTTGTATTTGCTGTATTTGTGATGTGCAGTGAGGCAGACACTCACCTCCTTCTCTCCACAGATATTGCTGATGATGGAGTTAGAGGCAGGGCTGGCAGAGGGCCCCAGGACCGCCACCACACCTTTGGACATGATTTGGCACACTGCAGGGGACACACCAACAACAAGTAGGTTAAAAGTCTATGGACCAAAAGCAGGTATTAAAGTGTCAGTAGGGCTGTGCATGTATATCACTTTATATCACAAATAGTAAAGGCTGCAATTGTTCAGACATGATGTCCTCTGCAAAGAACAAACTATCTTTTAATGTCTTTTAATAGAAACATCTATCATACCTGTAGTTTTGACCTTAACAAACATTTATTAGTTCATCACATTTCCCTCTCTCTAATGTTAATGTTTCTCCAGTTTTAGACTCCTACTTTTTAAACAACTTTCAATGATAAACATGGGGAACATGTCAGAAGCAACCACAGGTGGTAATCACAAGAGGATTCAATGTATTGATTCAATGTTTCAATGTACAGTTTTGGGTTGATGGTGGAAACCTCACTCAGAACACTCAAGAGCTGAACCAAGGATCTCCATGCAGTGCTGCAAGAGTCGGTGTTTCTTTTGATTAATTGTTGCCAAAAATAGCAGTTGAATGCTTCTAACTGTATTGATATTGATAAGTTTGACTTCACACCATCTGGCCAAAGCACAGTTGGAAACAACTTTTATTACTTATTTAAGTTCCACTGAGATACGAAATCTAATTTTCAGGGGAGTCCTGGCTGTAGAGAAGACACAATTGTACATATTTTTTTGGTAGTAGAAGAAACCAGAGTAACTGGAGGAAACCTACACAGGTACTGGGAGAACCTGCAAACTCCACTCAAAAAGGCCCCACACTGCCCTGCAGGGGAACCCAGGACATCCTAGAGGTGAGGCTGAAGCAATAACCACTGTGCCACCATGACACATTTGTCTTTCTTTTTAAGTTCTCTTTGAATGATAATATTTTGGAAAACCAATGCCCTTGAATAAATCTTGGTTCTTTTCCCACCTGTGCCAAGTATAAACAAATCTCCATAGACTCTGGTCAGGCAGAAGGTAATGAATGCACATGCTGAGTGTTCAGGACTGATAGCAGCCGAAGCCAGTGATTCATGTGTCTCTGGGGGAAACTGAACCTGCGTTTGGTGGTCAATTGCACAAGGCCAAATGCATTTGTCTCTCTGTAATATGCCTAATATATTGCATACAAAAGTCCTATGGCCCCTGATGATGAGAGTTGAAAATTGCTTGAGGGAAGACAGTGATGCTATTACAATAGATGTGAGCGTATGGCAACAGGAGCCACAAGTGAACGACAAACAGAAAATGGCACAGATAGTGAGAGACAATATCTTCAGGCCTAAAACATAAAATCCATTTCAACATTTGCACATAAATGCCAGAGCATATCCAAAAGAGACACAGGCATCTCCTGTTTTTTCCTGTTTGACTTTTACAAGGGCTGATTTAAAGCTTTTCCTTGGGGAGAGGAATCCAAGTTTTAGTCTAAAAAATTCCTGCAAATGATTTTTACAACGTTTGTGTAGAGGCCATAAACTTTAATCTGGCGTCTAATTAAACTTCTTCACTCAATGACGTGAGGGCTCCCTGTGTATCTGTACAGAGTGTGCTTGTGTCATGCTAATTTGCTGTTTGATTATTGGAGCAAATCCAGTGTATTAACCCTCCACTTGTGTGAAAAAGCAAAGGGGATCCATTTTGCAGTCTGTGTGGTGAATCCAGAGGCAGTGAATCGAATGATTAATAAGTAATCCCTGAGCTCCCCATGGGGCCTGTCAGACACAGACACACTGACATCAAACACAAACATTTACAGTACATGTGCTCCATTTACTAGATTATAAACGTGAATGCTTTCCTCCTGCCTCTGGATGAACTTTCTTCCATTTTGTGCTTTCCTCCTCCATGGTGTTTACATGAACCTGTCCTATAACCATCAAACAGGGAGTGCATCCCCAGTGAAATTATGGACACAGGGTCAGCAGGTCAGCCATGTTTCTTTCTCTCACCATTGATTTGGACTGTTCAATAAAAGGTACTGGTACCTAAGAAATAATTATGGGTGTAATTACTTAGAACTGAGGGGGGCCTGGCCATATATATTTATTTGACGTGTGCGTGTGCTGAGTATACATATAAGTCGATTTCATGTTTGAACATTAATATTTAAGCTTGAACAAGCTCCTTAATGTCAGTTTAAAAGTCGAAACTATTCTGGATACACTGACAAAATCGGAAAGCATGTTTCCTTCTGGCAAAGATATGATCAGCTAATTCAACAACTGTATAATAAAGAGGAGTGAGGATGGCAGTATGCTCTTCAATAATCTGACTATATGTAAGTATAGTATATAGGTAAGTATGCAATTATATATGTAATAATGTGACAATATATAAGACGCGTAAACAACTGTCTACATATATGTTTTTTTTTACAATACATGTCTGATACAAAGCCACAGTACAAACATTTTAACTTGCTGCCCATATGCTACACTCCGATATCCCACAGTCTGGCCAAAAACTTTGAAACAAAAACAAAAGAAAAAGAATAAAAAACCCCGGTATGGTTTGCACAAGCACCATGTAACCAGTGCTGGTGCTGTTTGTTTACAATCCTGAAACTAGCTTTCAATTTCCGTTCAGATCCTGTGGATTACTGAACAGACAGGATATTAAGAAATGGACACATGCTTCATAGATAATGGAGCCATGCACATAACATGTACAGCATGTAATCTGTGAGTGAGTGTGCTTTTCAAAGAGGATCAGGTTAGTAGCATGTGAAGCCCAGGCTGCTGTGGCTGTTTGCTGAAAGAGCTCAATAACCTTTATGCAGGTGGCCCAACGTGATGGGACCATAACTGTGTCCAGGGATCCATGAATAATCCCATTTCTGGCTCTGTAATTGTACACATCAAACTTTTACATACCAGTCACTCCCAGCATGTTCCTGGCAGTCAACACTGAGCCCACAAGTGAAGTGTGTTTTGAAGTAATTCCAGCAGAGACAGCCCACTGTTATTGTTGTTGTAGTGAATCAAGCTTTTCTGCTTTTATGAAATGCAAAATCCATTCAATTCCTGGTTATAGACCTCTACAATCTATATCAAGTGCACTTTACTGGAAACCGTACTCTAGAATTTGTATTTAAACCACTAGAAAGTCAATATTTGCCCAGTGAGATGCTTAAGACAAGATTGCCACAAGTGTACAGTATGTGTGGTATAGTAAATAGATCCAGTCATGTTGGTGTCAAAGCGCAGCGGGGTGCGCATTTGCATATTTAAAGATTCATAAGCATTTCCTGTCACGTTTGACAAGTATTCACTCATTTTCAACATGACGCTGCAGACTGCCTTAAACTCAAAGCGTTTTACCTCATCCACCTGACACATTAAATTCAACAGTGCCAATATCCGAGAACAAAATACTCGACAACACATCCTCCAACTCCTGCAGCTATCAAAATATGACAGCTCAATTTACGTCCCAGCACCAAGCTGTTCTGTCATCCTTCCTTATAATTTCCCAGACAGGCTTTCTCTGTATACTTGGAAGGGAATGTGTAAGATACAATAGGGAAAGAGGAAAGTAACACGCCAAGACTGAAATCACAGACTGTTATTTCAAAATAGGGCATTTTGGTGTAAAAGATATGTTGGTCAAGTATTTATAACTGTTTTACTGTGTGTTTACATGTTAGCAGAACTGTGTAAATTGCAGAACCTGTACAGGCAAAATATATTTCATTCAGATATATTGGGATATTAAGTGGGACATTATTGGGACATTAAGTGAGTATTTTCCAGGTATGAAATATGATTGTAGGAGACTTTGACTCTGTTTAAATCCAGGCTCAAAACTGTTCTGTTTAGCTGTGCACATATTCTGCACTCTTCTCTCTAATTGAATGTCTCTCTCTTTTTAATTTTATGATGATTATTTATGTTTTGATTTGTTTTTATTGTGATTTTAATGTTTTTCTTATTCAGTAAAGCACTTTGAATTACTTTATGTACGAATTGTGCTATACAAATAAACCAACCTAGCCTTGCCTTGCCTAGACATTCTCAAAACGTTGCTATAAAAATAAGCAGGTAAAATTGTAATGTTCATGTATCAACACATTTATATTGCAAATAATAATGTACTTATGTATTTTTTATTGTCAATCCTTTTAGCTTTTTCCATCTAGAAATTGTTATCCCAATGTACATAGAAAGATGCATGCATGCATGTTAAAGCAAGTCAAATTTAATTATTCAGAATTTCATTTAAATATCCAAATGCGATGCACAGTGATGGGAGAGATTTCTTTGCCTAGTTTTGTGTCGAAACGTCATGGTGCACAAAATCTTCAGAAAGCCCACAGAGAGAGGAATTTGTGGCTGGCTCCTGACACAGTTGTTATCTTTTCCAGACTTTGAACAGACAAAATAAATCTACTGATTAAAATCTAACTAAAGGCATTTTGGGTTACTCACTGGTCTCTCCCATCTCGTATTCACTGTCTCGGAGCAGTTCAAAGATGTCCACCTCCAGTTTTCCGGTGGTAGAGCGGTTGCTGCTCCGGTTGATGCTGTCTTTGGCCAGCGTGATGGCCAGGCGTTCTCCTCTGCTGCATTCCATAGGGTCGTCGAGAATGGCAGCTGGAATGACACGAGCACAGAACCGTAATCAACTTTAATCAAAGAAATAGAGCTCTCACAACAATCATTGGGAAGAGGGTTCATTACATTCTCTGCTTCACGGGAGTGTGGACTTTCTTCACTGACATTTGTGCAGACATTAATCTAGACTGCTAGAGTGCTGGACGAACAATAATGTTACTTTATTTCTCTAAAAACTAATTACAATGGCTTTCAGTCTTTTCAATATTTCCTTAACTTGCTAAATAGACTAGCTTAAAGGCTCATATTATACTATTTTCTGTTTCGATATCTGTTCATCATTCAGACGTTTAACACACAAACCTGGCATATTTAGGCTGAGTTACTCTCTCAAACGAAAAACACTCCATTCACCCTTGTGATGTCGTGTAGTAATACAGGAAGTGCTCCACTGTGTTTTTAAACTCCATACACCTTCATTAGAATCATTTGGATAATTTCAGCCCTGGAATTGCTGATCTCTACTGAACAAAAGGTAAAAGGTAGCTGTTAACTTGAAAACTACTGCTTCATGACATCACAAGGTGAAACAGAGCATTTTATGCTTTGGAGATGTAGACAAATTAAAAAGAATTACATGTGTGAATGAAACACAACTCCAGGTGTGTTTTTAATGTGGTAACAGCTTTATAACATGGCATAAAGCTCACAAGAGTCAATTTTGTTTAATATAGGGCCTTTAACATTATTATCTGCCCTCTGCAGCAAAGCCATATTCTCTTACTGAAAGAGGATTTTGGAACTCTCGATTAAAAAGTATTGAGCTGATCATTGACGATATTAGAAATGACTGAATCACAATCTTGATTAAAGTTTGATTAATTGCACAGCCCTTACCTTGAATGCCAAAAATAGCACATTAAGGTTTATTTTAGTAAATCGAGACTATATGCGTTAGCGTTTACTGTTTTTGTTAGCTGCCACAAAATCACTGTGCCCGTCCCCCTCTCGACATAAAACATCATTGGTTGAGCGGTCAGATCCACTGACCCACAGGTTGGTGGTGCGATTCTAGCTTCCACAGATGAATGCTGTCATCGTGTCCTAGAGCAAGACACTTAACCCACCTCACCCCTAGTGTCTGTGCACACTGGTGTATGAATGTGTGTGAATGGGTGAGTGGTTTCTTGTTGTAAAGCGCTTTGACTGCCTTGAGTGTGGAAAAGCGCTGTATAAAAATGTGACCATTTACCTTTTACCGCTAATGTACAAAGCAAGCATTTGTACATTACTGTATAGAAAACAAAATGATAGGACATTATGGTAGATGTTTCTAAGCAATACACATCATATTTTCTATGTAGTAGCCCAATGATAACTGATATGGATTAACCTAAAGCAATAAGCATTGACTGGACAAAACATGCTTAATTTTAAATGCAGCAATAGGCTAATAGTATTTCAGCACAGTAAGAATTCTAGCTATTAGGTTACAAAGGGATTTTATACAATGATAAATTATAGGGTCTGTGCTGCATAATGTGGCTATTAATAATGTCAAGCAATGGTACGATGCATTTATCTATCTCTGATGTTTATTGGCCTTAATACAATTGTACGTTTCAAGGCTATCATTTGAATAACATTATTTTGTGACCTTTTAAATGCACTTGGCCATATTTAGTGGATGCACTTTTTCAATGTGACTCTGATGTCAAACAGATGACTCTAGATTTATTTTCATTACAAAGGCATCTGGCACAGTGTATTGACTATAAAAAACTTGTTGACTGTCCAGTAAATAATGTCAGTGGGGGGTCAGACACGGTAACTCAGAGCCTAATCATATCAGAGTTTGGGGAGGCAGTAGGAGAGCGTGTTGGAGTTGACCTTTTCCTGGCCGATCACACAGCTGGATAAACAAGCAGCACATGCTCAGTCATCTGAAAATCACAACGCCTTAACGCCCCAGGCCCCGCTCCATCACAAATTAAACAAGATTCTATTGTTGGAGGCACTGTGTGGAAATGAGAAGGGAGCTGCTGTTTAACCCCAGCACGGCTGCCTGGAAGATACTGAGGGAACTGGATTACAAGACAGCTGTTACAAAGCCCAAAATACACATTTCAAGTGAACGTAGGAGGCTGACCAAATTCAAATAGACTAAAAAAGTTTTTTTTTTTAAGTTACCAGTATAAATCAGAAGTGAGACTCAGTAACTCAAAATGGTCACATTTTTCTATAGCGCTTTTCCACCTTCAAGGCACTCAAACAAGGAACCACTCACCCATTCACACACCAGTGTACGCAGACACTGTGGGCAAGGTGGGTTAAGTGTCTTGCCCAAGGACACAACGACAGCATTCATCTGTGGGAGCTGGAATCACACCAGCCAACCTGTGGGTCAGTGGGTCTGACCGCTCAACCTGTGATGTTTATGTCGAGAGCTGGAATCAAACCGCCGACCTTCAGATCAGTGGGCGAATGCTCTACCAACTGAGCTACTGCCACCCAGATGACCCTTTACTGATAGCGGAATAAAAATTTTGTTTATCCTCTAAATGTATTTAAAAAATGTTCAATGACTGGAGTATCTTATATCTGTAATCCTCGTTATAAAACTATTTGTTCTGATCTCTTAAGATGAACAAGCTGATTTCAGTGGGTTTATATATCTGTATTGTAGTATAGAAAGACATCTTCTTATTTGTAGGGCTACATGTAAAAGACAAGCAGTGGTATTACAGCCAGGAAATTAACTTCACTTGTTTATGATGCCTTGGCCACAAGTTTCAATTTCAGCAGGAGAAATTAAATCAAATGGTAGAGTGCGGCTTTCTGTGCATGCTCAGAGCACTTGACATTAAGACTCCATTAACCCTGACACACTTATATTCACATACACCTATTTTACTGTATATAGGTCAGCAGAGACACAAAATGCATGTGAGGTTTTGTTTTGCTCAAAGACATTTTAACTACGTGAAAGAAGAATTGAAACTTCAACCTAGCTATAGTTCCTGGGTCATATTTCCAATGTGCATTGTAGTGTAAACATTGAGATTTGCATCTGAAAGGCCATGTTGTTGTTGTTGTTTTTTTTTTATAACCATCAGCATATATGAGAAAATGCAAAAAGCTGTCTTTTTTATGCCCTTTAGTGTTTGCTGTTGTCTGTCAGATATAAGCTACACTTTTGTTGTTTACTTCACAGGAGAGCACAAAGCACTTCCACCCAGTGCACATCAAAACAATAGTCTAAAATAGAGTGTAAAATATCTTGTAAAACATGCGATAAACTGTGTAGTGATGCCATTTCAAGTTTTCAGTGATGCTTCTTTGCATTCTCTGGCAGGCTTAGACATGCGTGAGTGGTCAGTACATGACAGTTGGCAAACATGGACGGTTGTTTTCAGAAAAGAGAAAACATAAGCTAGCCCTTGATCCATCAAAGCAATCAATGTGGCCCCGAGGTAAGCTGAGGCAGATAGGACTCTGTGGACTGTGAAGAGCCGGAGACAAAGGAAGTGACGGAAGACAAATTCCTCATAGGAAAAGGAGTGACCTTGTGGGTGTGATCTTTGAGTGAATACTGCATATCTTCCCCATTGATCTGAGCCTTATGCACCTATATACTGCATCTAACCTTTACTACCATTACAGCTGATACTATAGAGATTGAGCTCTCCATGTGAGATGACAGTTTATGCAGCGATATTGCAGGCTTCCTCTAACTCTTTCACCTTTTCATTTCATCTACAGAGACAGACCTCAGGAGAGTGTACAGTTGGAGGTGTGTGTTTGGTGAAGACCAAATGCTAAGTGTGTGTCAGAATCAAGGTATTTGAGTCAAATCCCACGTCAGGGCTCCTGCTCAGTGAAAATCGCAACCAGAGCCCCAATGTATTATACCAGAGATTGCTCAAAACAAAGGCTTGCTTCTCCCCAAGAGATCACATTTATGTGAATAAAAACAAACTCTGAGAAAGTGGTTCTGAAGGTTAAAGGGTTGTATCAGTATTTGTATGTTCTAGATGAAGATCAGATGAAATACCTTCATGTTTGCTGTCATGTAATTTTTTGTGCTTTCATGGGTTTCATAGGTGGTTCATTCAGTCATAAAAATGACATCTTAAAATGTTCATCTTACAATCATTGTTTTCTAATCAAATCTTCGGTCACAACTGGTAATTAATTGAAGTATCTATACATTTGATGTACCATATTTACAGCACTGAAATATTGGAAATACAAATATTTTGTATATAAGCAAGTACTTATTACTTATATTATTACTTATTACAAGTTATTCATTTCAATACTGGTAGTTAAACATAAAAATAAAGGAATTGATAGCATGGAAAGCCAAAGTATGAAGAAAATTTTGAAAGTAAAGAAAGTGACAATCCATATTTAGACTATTTGGACTTTTGCTTCTATTGGTCTGTATGCTGTGGCACTGACTTCTCCTTTAGTGTCTTCATTAGAGGTTTGCTGGTTTTGATGTAGTCAGTTTATTAGTCCAGAGTGTTCAGGGGGGATTGGATTTGCTTTTACTGAAAACATGCCAATGCACAGCACAGAGACAGTGTGAAGTGATGCAGGTTTTCTAAAGCTTAATGAAGGACTGGGCCATACACTTGGACGGCCTTTCCTAAACTAAATATTGTAAAGCTGCTAATCAACAAATTAAATCATCCTTTAGGGAAGCAGCGTGTCACCAGCCCTTTCATTTTGCAGCTTTAATGCTAGCCTAAAATAATCTCATACAAAAGTGAAAAATACTGAAGAAAGCCCATGTAACACTCCTTTTCAGACACAGATCTACATTTCTATGGAGCATGGCGAGCGCTAAATGCACAGGTCCTGACCCCACCATTGAAAAAGTATGAAGTGCTGCCCCCTCTCTGCACCCATATTCATTGGCCTGCTACTCTAATGGGTTTGTACATTCTGACCTTGTTTCACCCTGTGAGTACAGTGCATGATTAAACGAATAGTCTTTATATATTTGATTTTATCACTGACCCATAAAAAGT